GGGAGAGGGGAGCAGGGGGTGGTGTCTTGAGTGGGGGTAAGGGGGAAGGCAGATTCTTTATTCCAAAAGCAGTGTATTGCTGGTTTATTTCTCAATACTTAAGAAAAGGTAACAATGTTTTTAATTGCTGTTCAATTGCTAAAAAACCTTTTAGCTAAATTGTGGTGAAGTTATTTGTGAACATTTTTCCTCTCCTTTGCAGGAAAGTAAGAAATTATGGTACTTATGTTTTGGGTTTTTTATCCCCTTCTTTTCTACTAGGGTTTCAAGATAGATTTAAATTGCAAACAATTGACAGTAGACTTTGTGAACCAATCAGTGCTACAAATTAGCAGCCAGGATGTTGAAAGTAAACGTAGCGACAAAACTGATTTTGCAGAACAGCTTGGAGCAATGAACAGACGTTGGCAAATCCTGCAAGGCCTGATAACAGAAAAGGTAAAGAAAAAAACCTAGCTGCTCTGTAGTGAACTTTCAAAATACATAGAACTATAAGATAATAATGGTTGGAAGGCTCTGCAGGTCATCTGGTCCAACTTCCTGCTCAGAGCTAACTTTACAGTTAGATCAGACTGGACAGGGACTAGCTTAGCTGAGTTCTGAAACTCTCCAAGGACAGACTCCACAATTTCTCTGAGCAGCCTGTTCCTGTGCTTAACCAGTCCTGTGGAGGACAAGTTTTTGCCTTGTTCCCAATCAGAATTTCTCTTGCTGCAACTTGTGACTGTTCTCTCTCCTCCCTTTACCATTCATGTCCCAGAATAGTCTGCCTCCATCTTCCTCATAACTCCTCATAAGGAGTGGACAGCACAATGAGATGCTTCCTTTGCCTTCTTTTCACCAGCCTGAATGAATGTCCTGGTTTCAGCTGGGATAGAGTTAATTTTATTCCTAGTAGTGGGCATAGTGCTGTGTTTTGGATTTAGTATGAGAAGAATGTTGATAACACGCTGATGTTTTTAGTTGTTGCTGAGTACTGCTTATGCTAGTCAAGGACTTTTCAGCTTCCCATGCTTTGCCAGGTGCACAAGAAACTGGGAGGGGACACAGCCAGAATAGTTGATCCAAAGTGACCAAAGGGCTATTCCATACCATATGACGTCATGCTCAGTATATAAACTGCAGGGAGGGGGGGTGGCCGCAGAGCAGCGATCGCTGCTCAGGAACTGTCTGGGTATCGTTTGGTGAGTGGTGAGCAATCTCATTGTGCATCACTTGCTTTGTATATTATTATTATTATTATATTGTTATTATTATCATTACCATTTTACTTTATTTAAATTCTTAAACTGTTCTTATCTCAACCCAGGAGTTTTTCTCGCTCTTATTCCTCTGATTCTCTCCCTCATCCCATCGGGGTAGGGGGAGTGAGCGAGTGGCTGCATGGTGCTTAGTTGCTGGCTGGGGCTAAACCACAACAATGAAGCCAACCTCTCTTTGTATGTCATGTGCTCCAGCCCCCTAACGACCTTAGTGGCCACTCACCAGTTTGTCAATCTCTACCTTGCACTGGAGGACCCAAAATGGGTCACAAGTGTCAAGGAGAAGGAAAGAACCACTTCTCTTGACCTGCTGGGTGCACTCAAAATAATCTAACCCAGGATGCATTTGCCCTTCATCAGCACAAACATACACTGCTGATTTATTATGTTCAAGTTATCGCCCACCATAGCACCTAGGTACTTTTCTTCTATCCAGCCTGCTGCTAGTTTGTATTGTTGCATGAGGTTATTTTGTCCCAGGTGCAGGACTTTACGTTTGTCTTTGCTGAATTTCTTGAGGATTGATGAGCTTATTCCTCCATCTTGTTGAGGTTTCTCTGAATGGCAGCCCTGTTCTCCAGCATATCAACTACTTCTCCCAAATCAGTGTCACCTGTGAATCTGCTGAAAGCACAGTCCATCATGTCATTCAGTTTACTGGTGAAGGTATTAAACAATATCAACCCCAGGACTGACTCTGAAGATGCATCTTGTAAATGACTGCCAATGACTGCCAGGTAGACGTCGAAAGGTTCACCACTAACCTTTAAGCCTGATGACTCTGGCCAGTTCATTCATTTGTAGACCTCGCATCCAGCCCATGCCTTCTTAATTTCACTACAAGGGTACTATGGGATACCATATCAAAAGTCTTGCTAAAGCCAAGGTAAACAACATCTACTACTCTCCCCTCATCCACAGGGTCAGTCATATCATCATAGCAGAGGCAATCAGTTAGGTCAGGCACAATTTGCCCTTGGTAAGACCATGCTTGTTCCTCCTCCTTGTTCTTTATGCATGTGGAAATGGCTTCTGGTAGGATTTGCGGTATAGCCTTTTTCCAATCACCAGCAACTTCCTCTAACCGTCATGACCTCTTAAAGGTCATAGACAGCAGCCTTTAAATGATATTGACACCCTCGGATACATCCTCTCTTGTTCTGTGGACTTTTATATGTCCAAATTACTTAAGTAGCTCCTAATTCTTTCCTTCTCTACCATGGCTAGTACCTCTGCATGCCAAAATTTGTTAATTGGCATGAAGACCTAGGAGGCACAAAAAGAGACCTAGTCAGTAACTTGGAGCCAAGAAGGCTTGGTGTACCTCATACTATTCTGTGGTTTCCCATTAGTTGCTGATGTACTTGTGAAGAGTAACAAGAAGGGCTTCTGTCCCTCACTAGTTAGTTCCAGCCAAGATTTTGCTTTCCTAATGTCACCGCTGCATGGCCAAGCCATGCTTCCAGGTCCATTCTTTGTTATAAATTTCTGTGGAACTGTCCTTTTTGTGACTTGAGGAAGTTGTCCTTGAAGATCAGCCAGCTTCCTGGACTCCTTTGTCCTTCAGTACAGCTTCCCATAGGATCATGCTTACCTGAACAAACCAAAGTCTGCTATTCTAAGGATCTTTAGTCTGCTACTTGCTTTCCTTACTTCACTCACAGCTGTCTCATTGTTACTGTAGGCACCGCTGCTATTCACCGTCACATCCTCAAGCAGTTCTAATTAAGATTACAGCTAATTAAGATGGCTCATTCTCTAGAGTGGAGTTTGTCTTAAGCAATGTGAATGCTTTTTATTATAGTGCTGCTGTTTTCAAATTCTGTTTTGGTTTTGGGGGTTTTTTGGGGTTTGTTTTTTTTTTTTTAAGTATAGAAGTGCTATCCCATTTGCCATTGAATAACACCCAGAACAATCAGAAAAATCTAAGTAACTTTAAAGCAGTCAATTGGTAAAGGAGGTAATATAAGTCTTCATCTACTTTACACAGTTACAAGCAAGGAATATAAAAGGTATGTTTGTATGCTTAGTTTTATTTGGGAAGTCCTAAGGTCCTTGACCTCTGAAAAGAATTCCACTTCATAAAAATGTTCTGCTAAAGTGTTAGCTTCTTTCAGTGTGTCATAATACTTTAATATGTTATCTCTATGTAGTTATTTCTGGGTAAAGCATTATTTTTATTATGAACTCTTTTACAAACAGCAGATATATTTCAATTTGAATGCATATGCTGTTTTTAAATTCTGACAGCATTGAATTCCGAGAAGGCACTGGTCAGCACTGGTCTTCACTGATTTATTTAATTGACCCAACAATAAAGGTAATTGTATGAGAAAGTATATACTCATATTTCTTTGCAGATCCAGCTGTTGGAAAGTCTGCAGGAATCCTGGACAGAATATGAAAATAACGTCCAGTGCCTAAAAACTTGGTTTGAAACCCAAGAGAAGAAGCTGAAACAGCAACAGAAAATTGGAGATCAGGCTTCAGTACAGAATGCTTTGAAAGACTGTCAGGTAACGTCCCCTTATAAATGACAACATTCTCTTTCCAACAGGTAGAAACAACACTTGATAAAGCCATGTGAAATCTTCGTATCAGTGATGTCAGTGACAGAACTCCTCTTTACTTCAGTGAGGGAGAGATTTCATTCCTAAAGTGAAAGCAATAGAAAGGAGGAAAGAACAATAATGTCCCAAAGATCTTTAAAAGCAACCAAAGTCATTATTCTTTTTGCGCTGTGTATTAAGGCATGGACATTTCCAAGCATGCCAGGCGTACTGAACTAGAAAGGCGTTCAAAGGAATAAGTTCCCATTCCTGTTTAGCCAGTCTTACGGAACTTGATGTCATGAACATCATGCTTGACTATTCAGAAACTTGTTTTTTCTACCTTATCACTACCTTTCGTCCACCATCCCCTTTTTACTGTTCTTTTTCCACTTGATACATTCCACCTGACTATTCAAAAAAAAAAAAATGCTAGAATCCAAGGAGGTTTTATGCTTTTATTCAAAATGTGTTGGGAATAAATTTTTTTCAAATGTTCAGCTATCCAGAGAAGGAAATAATGCTGGATTTCCCTTCAGAAGACTGAAGGAGAATCATGATTATGATGGGCAAAGACAGGATGAGGCAAAGCTCAGCTATACATAATGCATATAAGTTCAGAACCACCTCAGTTTTTCATGCAAAATTCATACACGGACTACACAGCGGTGAATAGTGTTGACTCTGAACATCTTGCTCAGAACAGCACATATTGAAGTAGTTAGAAGCTTGCTTCTGCAGCTGTCAGGTTAGAGTTCAAGCTTATAGGTATATAAGCAAAATAGATTTTTCTGAATTTACAAACAAGTCCTCTATATGGTATCAGGCATCAGATAATTTTTGCTCAAAAGTGTTGTGTTCTACCAGACACCAAATAATAAATTTCACACTGGATCAAATGTATAAATAAACTCTGTCAGGACAACTCCATGCTCAAAATCTTGGTGTTCTCATCCCCTTAAAAAGGACTAAGGAACCATGTTTATCTTGGTGTGGCTGTCCTTCCTGCATGGATTTAATGAATGGGATGAATATGATCTAGCTTTTAAGTCTTTCACAAACAGAACAGCTGGAAATGTATTCAAATTAAATGCATAAGAGAATTTAATCTATATTGACCAGTGTATTAAACCCATCTTTGTTTCTATAAAGGCAAATAATTGTTTAGGCCAGATATAAGTCAATTTTTTTTTTCCAAAGTTCTTGACCTAAGTTTTCAAACTGACTGCAGTGCTTAGTTTCAATTCAGGTATCTTTATGGTTTCAGCACAAAAAGTCCCTATGACTGAAGCAAGGGTAATTTAGCATATCCTGACATAATTGGCAGGCTGTGCTTGGCTGGAGTTCAAAGCTGAATCTGATTTATCACCTTTATGGTTCCTTTCGGTCAGGGAAGTTAGCAAATACACTTGGGGAGTCAGTTATGAATGTCAAGACTTTGATCAGCAGAGAAACAAATTGTTTAAGAAATAACTGTATCAGACACTCCCAGCTATCCGGTTCAACTAGTACAAAAGCTGCAATTTATTTATTAACCAGTGTTAGTTGCTGCCTAGTGTCATATTAATAAGTGAAGGCAACCATTTTTCCCCATCACAGATCAGCAACAGTACTGTGTCTTTAATTCAGTTATTAGTTTAAAAAGATGCATAAGAAACCCCTTTTCACAGAGAACCAGAAATATTTGCTATTTTTGGTGTTTGAAACTTTTGCCTGTTTTACATTCTGAATTTTGGAGCAACCCTGTACAAACTTAAATGTCTTTTTTAGTGTTCAAATCCACTTTTTGGAGAGTCAGATTTACTATGTGCAACTTAGAAGTGTTTGCTTTGGTGTCAGCTGGTTTAAAAAAAAAAAAAGAAAATTACTCCAAGGCTGTAGTCTGGAACGAGGTCATGGCTAGAACTTTGAAGAAATGTGAAATAATACAGAAGACAAGTCTAAGAATAAACAGTACAGCAAAAATGCTCTCACCTATATCTATATAGACAAACGTGTGTTGTATGTGTACAGGGATAAATTCTGTTAATAGCAAGTGTTTGCAAGACTCTGCAGAATTTGGTTCCAAATACTCTCCCCACTATCTAAAATGTAAAGTCTGTTATGGCAATAGTTCACTTGTTGTTTTGATTCTTAGGGAGAGTAATTTATTGAAAGATATGGGTTTTCAGTTTGCCCAGAGTTTTGTTGTGTTGTTTTCTTTCCCTGATGATCCATCTCTCTCAGTAAGGAAAGGCTTGCAGAAAATTAAAATATAACCTGAGATCACAAGATGCACTACTTAATGTAGAGGCATCCCAAGATTGCTCTCATCTCACAGTCTGCTTTCCATATCACGCTGTCGCAAATACAGATTTCTGGATTCACAAATCTGTATTTGCGACACATGCTGACTTTTATCTCCAGACAGGCAAGCACAAATTTGTGCTGGCCTGAAGCCTACAAGCGGACTTCCCCCCTCTGCTCAGACCCAGTGTTTGCACTACCTGAAAGCCACACAGCTTCCATATGAGTCAGAGCACTGCAGGACTTTCTTGGATCTCCCTGCACTGTGCCATGAAATTATATAGTTTCCTGGCCAGGAGTGAGCTTATGGGAGCGTGCTATACGACCCGCGGTTGCTCACCACCTCTTCCTGTTCTTTCTCCTTCATTTTGTAACTTCATTCTCATGCTGTTGAGGCATGAGAAAGATCATAGGCTTTGTGAATAGCCAATGTTACATACCAGAGCTTCTGCACTTCACTTATTGATAAAACATGATGAAACCGGCAAACTTTGAGTCAGCATTTCCATGACTGAAGCAGCAAAACAAGCCACTAACACGTTACCATGGCCTCAGTGCTTATGTGCTCAGCACTGTTTTCTTCACTTGCTTTCACGCCAACTGTTCATTTTCTTCCCATTTTCTTGGGTTAGTGTGTGGGAACGCTGAGCAGAGCAAAATGCTGTCTAGCTCATTAATGCTTCCCAACGGCATGCAACCTTGAGGCGGCGGTAAGGAAAATTCCTGCAGTCTGTTGCTTGTTGTTATTGGCTGGACTCCAATGAACTTGTCATCTAGGGGAAGGCTCGCTGTCCTCAGGCAAGGGGCTTCGCTGGGACCTGGCAAAGGAATAAAGACTCCACTTCATGTGGGG